AAAAAAAAAAAGAGTACATAATTTTACTGGAGCTTAGATGATCATTAGAGTCTATCAGTAGTTTCTATAGGGCCCCATATCTTAGTATATAATTGTGAGAGAGAAGTCTTCAGTGGGTAGTGGACTGTGCATGTTGTCTGGAGTAGACACGCCTAAGTTGCAATACCTGGGTCAGTCACACTGTGGACCTTATGTTCTGGAATTGCTCAAAGCCTCCATCTTCTTCCTTAACCAACTAGTTGCCATTGAGTCGATTCTCACCCATGATGACTCCACATGGTTAAAAGTAGAACTGTGTTCCGTGGGGTTTTCAGTAGCTAGTTTGGGGGATCACCAGGCCTTTCTTCTGAGGCACCAATGGGTGGACTCAAACCTCCAACCTTTCAGTCAGCAGCTGAGTGCATTAACCATTTGCACCACCCAGGGACTCCTCTGGTACCTTACAGAGTCAGAATTAAGTGAGATCAACTATGTATGCCATCTGGAACACGTAAGAATGAAAACATTCACTCTTTCAACTCCCAGGTACTATGTGAAGTGTCTCAATGCCACTGGCACATTTTCCTCTCAGCCCCATTTTCAAATCTTCTAAGGCCCCAAGGTCACCTTCTGAGGGGCCGTAGTGCTGGGAAGCTGTACCCTCTTCCCTCCCTCAGCCCTTCTCCAGCCTTTAAGGAACAGAATGGAGAATAGCAGGCGGCTTGATTCATAGACTTTATCAGCTTTTTCTCCACCCAGAGGTTTCTGCAATGACAACTGAGCCTGTTAGCCTGTTCTGTACACAAGGTTCATTCTGTTAAAGCCATGGGGCATGGGATTGGGGCCAGAAGGCCCCTAGGAGGCATCAGGGAAGGCGGCAAGGCTTGAGGCTGGCTAGGTCCAAGACTGGATCAGTGGGTCCTAGTGTTCTAAGAGGGTTACAGGAGCTGGCATGAGATTACTCAGAGGGGTCAGGAGGAAGGGTGGGCAGCTTGGGGCTGCAGGGGGGAAAAGGGTGCATGAGCATTTGCAGGGAGGAGGTGAAGAGCAGGCTCTCCCTGCTATGGTCTGGTCCTATTTGTAAGGGACAGTGGGGGTAGGACACAGCACTTGTGTGTGTGAGTGTAGGGGGAGAGGGTGGGTGTCCATAGACATTTTTCGCAGCAGGAACAAGACAGATCACTGTATAAAAGGGACGGTGGGGCTGTACAACATAACCTATGATACAATGTTTACATATAATACAGGCTCTTTCCCTTTGAGTTTTAAAAAATAAATTTACAATTCCAGAGCTTTTGGTAAAAAATATATACACCCTCAGAGCAACAGCTACAGCTTCCGCTGCTGCTGCTGCTGCCTCTATGAAAGGGAAAGAGGTGGTGCCAGATAGGAGGGCAAGGCTGCACCAGGAAACCTCACCCAGTAGCTGCCAGGAACCCCTGCGCCCCTCAGCCTTGGAGGCCCATGATGGCAGAGGGAGCGGACAGAGAGGTAGTAAAGGCATCACCAGAGTCCAGTCTCGCCTTTACAGTCCCCGCTGCCCCTCCCCACTTTGAGGGGCTGCCTGCCCTAGGTAGGCAGACCCACCCTACCCCAGCTCTGATGGGGAGGAAAAAGGGGGAGTCAGGACAGGGAGAGGGACAGAGACCACGTTGTTGGTGTCTGACATATGGCCAGAAGGGGGATGACAATTCCCTTCTTAGCAATGAAGACACTCAAAATAAAACAACAAAAAAAAAAAAACAAGACAAGAGTGTGGGCAGGAGTCACCCCAACTCCCAATACCACCACACCCCACCCCACTGCAAGGGACAGGGAGGGTCCTGTAGGCCCCTTAGGCCTGTGTTTCCCTGAGCATCTTTGCCCCTCACCGGAGCCCACTCAGGAACCTTTGGAAGGGCTGGAGGGGGGGCTCACAAGAGCTGAGGGTAACCCCTCCCACCTGTTGCTGCTCCCTGCCCTCAGGGGCAGCTTCACCCACAAGCCTGGGCATGCAGGGCAGCACGAGGAACTGAGCAGGGATGGGTGGGGGTGGAGAAAAAAACTCGCACTGTCCTAGGGGCACAGTAGACAGGGTAGCACCAAACAGAAGACCCCCCCCCCGCGTCACAGCACACGTAACACCCTCCCTCAATCACAGATGCACTCCTGCTCCTTACAAGAGGACACACATGCGTGCACATGCACACACACATACACACACACAGACACGAAGGTAATATAATATTCCAAGGGAGGACATCCAGGGGTCTCAGCCCTGACCAGAGAGAAGCAGACAGCCAGTAGAAAGGAAGGCTGCCAATCCCTCCCACAATTCCACTCCTTGAGACAGGAAGGTGGGCAGCTTTCCTTCCTGCTTGGGAAGAGGAGGTTTAAAACTCCATCTCTGGAACAGCCCTCAATGGGAGGGGACAGAGGAAGAGCTTTCTGCCCCCTTTCCCTGGTGAGGGCCGGATCCGAGTGTGGTTTAGGTTTGAAGGAGTGAGGAGAAGAGAACTTCAGCAGGATGAACAGGCTTATAAGTCTGAGAAGTAAGTCCATTCAACTCTTTCCCATGGGGCGGGAAGGCTGCTCCAGGGAAAAGATGGTAGATGTAGGTTAGGACAGCGTGCAAAGTGCTTAGTGACAGGTGCCCATGGACCTGGTGGGGTCTGATCAGCACCTCCGTTCTCACTGACTATTGGCCTCCAGCTTGTAGGAGAGTTCGAAGAGGAGGTTCTGGTTGTCGATGACCTGGAACTGGCGCACGTAGGCCTTGGTCTGCAGGTGATGAGGGGATGCCTCCATATCTAGGCCTGGGAATGTAAAGAGGAAGAGGCAATCAGGTTCCCAACCTCCCTTCTTGCTTTACACACACACAATGGGCAGAGAAGAAGGATGCAGACTGAAAAAGGTGTTGGGCAGGGGGTCTCTGGGAAGGCGGAGAAGAGAATGAAGAACTGGCTTCAGGAGATGAATATCTAAGCAGGAAGTTTGCCCTGCAACCATCCCTCTCAGTCAAAGCTCAACCCACAACACTCTCAGAACCCTGGGTACTCACAAAGGGGCCGGCTCCGGTATTTGCGGATTGTCCTCACTTTTTCGGCCACTGAATGCTAGGAAATGACAAGGAATGAGCCCTGGAAAGGGCACAGAAAGACACTCCCCCTTCTGAGTTCCCCTCCTCCATTCCCCAACTCTGTTGGTTTTCCTCCCTCTAGTCCCTAACTCTGGAGAGTCTCTGAAGGACCAAAGGAGGGGGTGTATCAGGGTGCCAGGTTGGGGGGAGGTACAGTTGTCCCCGAGCTGCCTGTCAGCTTTGCCACCAGTGGGTGGGTTGCCACAGTGATGCCACCAGGGAGACAGTCAGGAGTCTGTTAGGCAAGCTGGGCACCATGGAGGAAGGCTGCTATCTTTAGGAAGGTGCCAGGAGAGAGGGAGAGGATGTCACCCCCCCCAATCATAGGACAGGATTGGCAGTGCCACTCACCAGCTTCTCAATGTTCACCAAACCATCGACAAGGGTCTTACTGCCCTCATGCAGGAATGTCAGATCTAGAGGACAGGGAGAGAATCAAAGGTGAAGAAAAGATAAGTGTGAAAGTCCACAGAGCCACTGCACCAGAGGATACTTCCCTTCCCCCAGAACCCACTCAATCTGGGAGGCTCCTCTCTAGGTGGCCACCTAGAGCTGTGTTGGAGAAGTGATTGAGAGTCACAACTGGAGGTGAGGAAATAGGTCAGAGTTTCAGGCATGGGATTAAGAAGACCGTGGATAGGAGAGTGACAATTTGGGAGGGAGAATTCCTTACCTTTGAGGATCAGAGGCACGAACGGAATCACAGGGGGCTTCATTTTGGAGATCACTTCTCGGTAGCTTTTGTGGTTCCTGCAGGGGTCCTAGCGTTCCACGAAAGTAGGATAACATAAGGGGATAGCTAGACCCAGTGTACCCCAAAGATATCTCTACTCCCTCCCTCATCCCTCTGCCCTGGAAACAAACCCCATCAGATGGGGTATATATGGGTGTCTAATAGGAGCTCTGGTAGCATAGTGCCTAAGGCACTTGACTGCTAACCAGAAGGCTGGCAGTTCAAACCCACCAGCCACTCCTCGGAAGGAAGGCTGGGCATCTACTTCCGTAGTGATACTGCCTCAGAAACCCAAAGAGGGGTTGCTATGAGTCAGGTCCAACTAGACGGCATGTAACAACAACAATAACAAAAGTGGGGATGGGGGGAAGGGCTTGACTGCTCTCCCCTCTACTCTAGGGAAAACTGGGTAACAATCCCCTCACCTTTCCCCTCCCATCAAGGTAGGGAAGGGTTGAGGGTCCCATGTACTAAAAGCCTTGAAGGGAAGCTTGAAAAAGAAAGTTTATGGGAACAGACGGTCTCTGGGATGCAAGGCCAGGGAAAGAGAAAAGAGCCAAACCCACTCACCGTCAGGTTCTCAAATTTACGGAACAAGTTCTTGAATTTCCCTGGCAGCTTCTGCAGAGTTTGAAGGAAGGAGAAGCAATATCAGAGAGGCGCTCCTTAGGTTTCGCCAGGACTTCTGACTAATCTCCCCAGTGTTGGAGGCAGAAAAGGTCTGTCTTGCAGGGGGCTGGGAAGCTAGTGGATAGGAAAGTAGGGCCGACCCCTGCCTGGGTCTGGGGAGCCTGAAGCACTCCAGGGGGCTTCATTCTCCTGGAGGAACAAGGCCTCTGTTCACGTATGTGCAGTACACAAGGGTGCCCCACTGAGTGCTGGCTGAAATCCCCAAAAGGCCTCCAGCAGCTGCCTGCCCCCACCCTCGCGCGCAGGTTTTTTACTAATCTGCACAAAGACAAGGTCTGGTAGCCAAGCTGCATGCCTTGGGGCTGTATCTGCCAGAATAGGACGCCTCCTTCCAACTGGCACAAGGCTCCAAATAGGCCAGTAGTAGTCCCAGAAGGCAGGCAGGACTGGGGTGAGCCGAAGATGTCAAGACTGAGCCGGGAGGCTAAGATCCAGGCGGTGGGATGGCTGGGCCAGCACAGGTGAAGGGAAAGAAAAGGAAGGGGGGGGGGGTCTCATTACCTCCCAGGTGAGCCGCAGGCGGCTGACCGCCGCGT